GGTTGTGATGTATCTGATTGGCGGTTTCCTAGGATAAATTCGTATTGTCCATCAAAGTTAGGGTTATAACATCGGGACTTGAAATTATAGCCTTTTTGCATATGCAATTCAAGCTCGTCTTTTGGCCATGGTGGACTCTCATCACACTTAAGCAAGTAGTATAGTTGGTCTGGAACTTGACCTCGACCACCAACGTAAACTCCGCTATTCTTTAAGCGATCTTTGAGCTCCCTACGAATGTTTTTGTTAGCAATTTTAAAAATGTTGGCAGTCCAGCCTTCAAAATCTTCCTTGAATTGATTCAGTAGTGCCTTGTCAAACTTATTGCTTGATTCATAGAACTCGAGGCAGTCGACGATGTGAGTGTTAATTAGTTCAGGTGCCAAACTTTCTTCATCTTTTACATCAATCTCCATGCCACTGAGCTTGGTGTCAATGGCGATTGCTACCCATGCTTTGTTTCGAAGATCGGCCATCTTAATGTATCTGTGGATTTAGGCTTTAATCCGTAAAATTGACGTGCGTGATGGACGCAGGCAAAGCAGGTAAGCGGTCGAGGAATTGGGACCAATTGGCCGTCACTCCCTTCTTGCAAATTGTAATGCCCTTAAGAGAGTCGTCGCCTGACCGCAGATTTCACTCTTATTCGCACGCTGTCAGATAAGTTAATCTGAAACGCCGCTTCTTTGTCTCGTGTCGAGCTTGACCGCGTCAACACTTACCCCAATGGAATACCTTGCTGTTCTGTGGTTGTATGACTCAAAATGTCAGTTCAACCACTGATCAGTGTTGGTATGACAAAGGTCATACACTACAAGCCAATAGGTTCACTTGAAGTTATGAGAGTACTGCAGTACGTAATGAGAACAATTGTTCGATTGGGTTCGATTGATTATGTATATCTCTCCCCTAAACTATAGCCACGAAGTTGGTATCTATCCTCGGATAATAGTTTACCCGATATAAAAGAATTACAAAGAGAACTGTTATACATCATGCAGGGACCACCAACTCCAAACCCAAGATAGACTCAACCGAATTAATCGTTCCGACACCCCAGCCAATTTTCTGAATTATCCAGGCGTAGCTAGACTTGAGGAGCTTGACGGTAAAACCATTAATCGTCGCGCCTTTGCCTAGCTCTTTTATTGATGTAGAACTTCTTCGATAACACACAAGGTATGTGAGGGTAAGGTCTCGTGTCCATAAGCTTTATGAGAACCGATGCGACAACAGTGCGCCAGGGGATCTTTTGGGTAACTTGATGTCGTGTCGGCGCTCTCAGCTACACTAGAATTGACGCTTGACCCAGTCAATTAAACTAACGGATGTGCCAACTAACTTATGAAGTCTAATGATTCAGAGTAAGACCTGGCTATTACCTATCGACTTGTATAGCATTGAAATTGATGCATTGATGCGATGATGCCTCTGCTGATCTTCCAGCTGGTATCCTCTCACTATGATATCTACTCTTACATCCGCTTCAGAAAATATTCCACTCATCATATCTGCCATTCTTCCTTGATATCTTTTACATCCTTACTCGTATCCCCACCTAGATGCTTGAGAGACATATAATCCGTAATTTCCTAGCAATACATCATTAATTTCTAAATTCACACATCTTGGCTCCAAGTCCTACGAAACTCATGGTACGCCGTTTGGTACGGTTGGTAGATATAAAAATGCGTCGATAGAGTTGTTCAACAGTTGCTACTATTTTGGCATTATTAAAGCAAAGACGAGGCTAATATTGGGAATACCATCGGGGTGATGTGGTGCTTGAATAACCTCTGACACAGTTTTTATTGGTAGCCTGTTACTGTCTCGATTTTTGTGTAGCTGAAAACTAAGCGTATGGAAACTTCGACTATACATTTACCTGCGTAACTTATTACCTACGAAACATCGACATGGATAAACTCTAGTCGACGTAGAAAGTTACTGAATTGCGGCTTCAAGAGGGTTTTGAAATCTGAGACTCGAAAGGGACAAGATTGAGATGTCTTCAGTCTCATTGACGCACTGTGTGTAGTTGCGGTGGGAAAGTCTGATGAGAACTGGGTTGCACGTCGTCCTATCAATACTATCCACCCTTCACAAGCTCAAAATTAGATTCCAAATATGTGGGCAAATGCTTTATTCATACCACTATTCCTCTCAGTCAATGACTGCCTAGGATGTGCTGCTTGTCCCTATCTACATGTTAAGAATACCTGTACGTGTAATAAATCCCCTCCTGTACTTCCTTCACAGCTCCCATCATATCGTAACAACTCATTCAAGTCCTCATTAGAGTCTACACTTAAGAGATCGCTTTACCATTCATAGTCTACCATATTCAACCAAGAAAACGAAGGTCGTATGCAGGCGTATAGCATCTGGGAAAACTTGCAAATGCATTAGATGCAAGGTTTGCCTGACCCCAAAGTGTGGCATAGATCCGGAAGGAAATTTCCCTCATGACGCATTATGAGTCATCAATTTGTCGAGAACTGCAGACTTGCGAACCTAGAGGAATGACTCACTAGTCACCTAGACTACATTAAGTTCCTTCTGTTATTCGCGCCTGGCGAAATATCGGAGGTTGTTTTGTTTTGTTCATTAACGTGCTAGGTAAAGTGACGATCGTTGCACTCCTACTGGAGTTTAAGCACGGGTGGGGTCGAGCTGGATCAGGTTAACTACCGTAAAGTACAAGTGCCCCGTCCCACCAAAATGGCCGGACCACCTCAGACTTCACCCATATGTTGAATCATGTCAAGCCCAACCTTCCAGAGAAACCTTTTTTGACGCGCCGAAGCGCAAATTCCTCCTCGGCCACCACGCGCCCTAGCCCTTGGTACCTTCGCCATCCCTGACCTTTTCCTTCGATTCATTCCCAGCTTTGGCTCATCTCAGCATCTCCTCATCTCATCCAGGGGTCGTTTTCTTCACTGGAGGCCTCATCCAGTCGCCCATAAAGGCCTCCTCAGTTTGTATTCCATTGTGGTTCCTTAATACAGCATCCCTCTACCCTTCAGCCGATCTCGTTATCCCAGAAACTTTGTAGAATTTCCACCCCTCCGGCCTTGCCCCATCGCTGTCGTACCTCTAACCGTGTAGGTCGAAAATGTGATTGAGAGCTCAAGACCGAGGCACCGGTACCCCAGCCTTTTTCGAACGCTCTGGTTGGTGTGCCGGCGAAATGTCGTACGTATTTCGTCGCAGGTCGAGTTGTTGGTGCCCTTGGCTGAGGTGAGGACGCACTTAAGGCCGGTATTTCGACCTTACCTTCACAGCGGCTGGCAGTTGTGGAGGGTCGTAAATCCTCTTGCTTCTTTGATGGCGATTTGGCTTTTGGAGGTATGGGATTGCTTAGGTAGGTGGTGAGATGATTCTTGAGAGGGCCGCGAGATGAGTTTGGCTAGGAATGATTTTCCAGAGAAATAGAAAATAAGATGTTGAAGGTGTCGGTTTTTGTGATACGAACATCAGACAGGTTATAGGCTATCTGTGGTTTGCATCTGGGGTGTAGATGGTTGATTTCGTTGAATTGTGCAGTCGTGAAATCTCTGCAAGTCGGATTTTTGACCAAAAATGAGCCAACGCCACTCCTCCCGAACGCCGACTCGACGAAAACCCTCAAATTCACCTTTTGTCGTCACTGAATCTCGGCTCTGGGAGGATATTTCACCCCCAGGTTCGTAGAGGACACCACTGATATATGTTCAGCCTTCGTCTAAATCAGAAGTTGTATTAAATTAGTAGATAAGTCTTGGCAGTGAGTGTATGATCTAAGATAACACATGTAACAGTTTTTAGACCATCTGTGGAGGAAGGAGATACCTTCTATTTCTCTATTATAAAAATTTATCTGGTTGGTATTCGACTCAAATTTGCTAACGCAGACTCTGAAGTAAGAGCTAGCAGTTAAAAGAAACTACTACTCAGAGTTTTTTAATCTTTGTTTCTCATATAGGTACGCCTTATCCCCATTTTCATCGTGACATTGTATGAGCGTGCCTGTCTGAACGAGGCCAGTAAACTATTTTAACAGGACGAGCACCTTACAAAGGTAGTTCTAGATCGTCTAAAATTTGACCTTTAAAAAGAAATGGCAACACTGAGCCCAAAACTTTGTGGCATGATAAAGAATGTTAATGATATCAACTAAATTGGTAATTTATTCTAGATTGAAGATCTAGGTCACTATATTGGTACGTATTTAGCTTGATGGTTGGCTTCTACTATAAGATACCTATCGATCCTACGTTTTACAGGGAAAGAATTCCCATTCGAGGTTCGTATTTTGAAACAAAGATGGTTAACTTGGATACCATACATATATGATCTATCCATCAGGATCAAAGATAAAGGATACCTTGATCCTACTTTTTGAGTGCTTATTGATTTTTCAGGATGAGCACGTCTTGATGAAAAAAACCCGCAGTCTTTTGAATGAGGTTGTGAACATAAGGTTCAGACCCGTGAAATGAAAACCTGAGTTCATGCCTGAGTCTAGTACCGTGAGTTTGAGGTGAGGATTTCCCCGGCGGTTTGTGTGGGACCTCTCATGATCTCTCCAAACAAGCAGATCGCTATCCGCGTAGTTAACAAGATGCTTTAGCCAGGAAACTGGATAGGATTTTGTGACAACGATAAATCTTGAGAAGGCACTGGTGACAGAGGTGGCATGCTCGGATAACCTTCGATTATTCCGTGACCGTTTGGCGTAGATATTATTTCCACCATGATTTGTGTTACTTATGAAGTCCCCAATATTCGAATTCTTCGCATAATAGAAATGAGAGTAGGATTACAATTTTTGAACATTTTTGTATCAGTCAGACTAAGGAGTTTTCAAACTATGTTTTCTTTTGTCCTGGGTTTGTAGAAGGCGTTGCCTTTGCGCGACTATGACTGTAAGAATTGAGAGTTGTCGGGCCATGACTTTTGAAGTTCATATTGGGAAATTCTAGGACTTTGATTGATGATAAATATCTGGATGTATTGGATCACTTTAAGTTGAACTTTTGTCCTTCAATGATTGGTGCAGAAGCCGTGGATTTAGAATTCGATTTTCCACATACAAGACAAGCTGTAATAAAATAAGCCAAATTTCTGTCCGAGATAAAACTCACCATTGGCTTTATATGCACACTTTTGGCAGAAAGTTCGTCCTTGTTCAATCCTGGTCTTGCAGGTTTTGCATGAGCTTGATAAATATGGGTTCTTGGCAGCTTTAGAAAGCAGTTTACTCTGAATGGAGGGTTAGGAGTTGTATAATGAATATGATTTACATGTTTTCTTGCCTTGCCAATCCCGTTGTGTCCCTGAATAGATGAAGGCCTAGCTTTACAGTCCCCGTTTGTTCCGCCAGATGAGCCAAAATATATTTCGCTCTTTTTTTTTATTCCAGGTGTGGCTAGAATGGTAGAATTTGTCAATTTCTGGCACTTTGAGCAAACCATTTTGAATTGGTAACTAGTTGACGATGTTGAAGTGACATTGAAGTGGGCCGGTGGGAAGTAAATTGGCTGTGTTTTACAGGGATCACGAAGCTTACCAAGACGTCAACTCCAATTAGGACTTGCAAACCATGAGGAACCGTCACATTTAAGAAGTTCCCAACCTGCCAATGGCCCCAAGGACTTCTGAAATTCACACTAGATTTGACCCAATTTTTCCCGAATCAACGATTCAACTTGCGGGAGCTCGGCGAAACGCGACTCATTATTGTGAAAAGGTTGAGGAACGTCTCGTTCACATCCTGGTATTCAAAACACCTCAATACAACCCTACTCACGACAGAAAAAAGCGATAACTACTTCCAGTGTGATTAAATGAACGGGACAACTTCAGACGTTAGCTTTCTACAAGGCTGTTAAGCTGTTGTTTAGCATGGCCGGACTGTCTAAGAATAAGGATGAATCTTCATTTGATCTAGCGCAAAGACAGTCTTCTGATAATGTACAGGGCCCTGTCTTAGATGCTGATGAAATGAGTCGTGCAAATAATTATCAGAACGACTTCTCGAATTCTCGTCCTTCAGTCTCTTACGATGAATTTATCGGGGAGGAAAGTAATTCCAAGACTGAACATTCATGCGAAAGCCCAAGAAAAATATCTGCGGAGACTTCTTACAATACAGCTACGATCAATATATCAAGTCAAGAACCGGGCCGAGAAAGTTATCAGCGCTACGCTGATGACCTTTATGAATACTCAGAAGGCCAGTCAATTTATCACAACCAAGCAGGAGTTACTGGAGATAATCCAATAGGAATAGTAGCAAACAAGGCACATAATCGCAATAGCGTGCTCACTCTGGGCGGCGGTCTCATAGGTCGCGCGAAAACTATGCTGGGGCTTGCCCCAGCATACTCAGAAATGGACCTTCCTCTGACAGAATCCGGAGAAAGAAGACGATATGACCTCTCATCACCCACAACCCCAAACGAGCCTCCCAAAAAAAACAATTTTCGCAAATTATGGCAAAGTTTAGGACGGGGAAAAGTAGATCCAGAAACCCTTGGTCCTCGAATAATACATCTCAACAATCCCTCGGCAAATAATGCCAATAGATTTGTGGATAATCATATATCTACAGCAAAATATAATTTTGCAACGTTTTTACCCAAATTTCTTTTCGAACAATTCTCCAAATTCGCTAATATATTCTTCTTGTTCACGGCGGCTCTCCAACAAATACCCAACATCTCACCGACAAACAAATATACAACAATAGGGCCCCTAGTTCTCGTACTGCTAGTCTCGGCTGGCAAAGAGTTGATCGAAGATTATAAACGAAAAAATTCCGATAAAGCATTGAACAGCTCAAAGGCTAGAATTCTAAAAGGGAATGATTTCCAGGAGACTCGATGGGTGAATGTTTCAGTCGGAGATATCATAAGGGTTGAGTCTGAGGAGTCCTTTCCCGCTGATATTGTCATTCTCGCAAGTTCTGAACCTGAAGGACTTTGCTATATTGAGACAGCCAATCTTGATGGTGAGACGAACCTCAAGATTAAACAGGCCATACCAGAGACTTGTGTTATGGTTAGCTTGAATGATCTCAGCAGAGTTAATGGTCTTCTCCGTTCGGAACAACCAAATAGTAATCTCTACACATATGAAGCCACTTTGACAATATCTAATGGTAGTAATGAGAAACAATACCCGCTACAGCCGGACCAGCTTCTTCTGCGAGGAGCTACCCTAAGAAATACACCCTGGGTGCATGGGATTGTCGTTTTCACTGGCCATGAGACCAAACTTATGCGTAATGCTACTGCAACTCCTATCAAAAGAACGGCTGTAGAACGACAACTAAACATGTTGGTTCTAATGCTCATTGGAATACTCATATCGCTAAGTATAATTTCTTCTATTGGAGATCTTATTATAAGAAGCCTCCATGGAAAGGAGTTGGCTTACCTCGGTTACGCAGTTTCTACACCATTATCAAAAAAATTTCGTCAATTCGGATCTGATCTATTTACTTATTGGGTACTTTACTCAGCTCTCGTACCTATATCATTATTCGTAACTATTGAGATTGTAAAGTATTGGCATGCAATCCTTATCAACGAAGATCTTGATATGTATTATGAGAAGACAAATTCCCCAGCTGTCTGTCGAACGTCGAGTCTGGTAGAAGAGCTTGGAATGGTTGAATATATTTTTTCCGATAAAACCGGGACTTTGACCTGTAATCAAATGGAGTTTAAGCAATGCTCCATCGGTGGAATTCAATACGCAGAGGAAGTCATAGAAGATCGCAAAGCCGTCGTTCATGACGGGATTGAAACTGGTATTCATGATTTTGGCCGTATGAAGGAAAACTTACGGTCTCATGAAACCGGAGATGTCATACATCACTTTTTGTCTTTACTCGCAACGTGCCATACTGTTATACCAGAACGAAATGAAGAAAAAGGTGGAATTATCAAGTATCAGGCCGCTTCGCCTGATGAAGGCGCTTTAGTTGAAGGAGCAGTCATCATGGGCTATAAGTTTACCGCCCGAAAGCCGAAGTCTGTTTTGATAACGGTTGAGGGTCAGGAATATGAGTACGAGCTCTTGGCAGTTTGTGAATTCAATTCCACACGAAAACGAATGTCAGCAATCTTTCGCTGTCCCGATGGTAAGATTAGGTGTTATTGCAAGGGAGCTGACTCGGTTATTCTTGAAAGATTAAGTGTCGACAACCCTCACATCGAATTAACTCTACAACATTTAGAGGAATATGCATCTGAAGGGTTACGCACTCTGTGCCTAGCTATGCGTGAGATTCCTGAGCATGAGTTTAAGGAATGGTGGAAAGTATTTGACAAGGCACAAACTACTCTCGGTGGAAATCGTGCCGATGAACTAGATAAAGCCGCTGAACTACTGGAACATGATCTCTACCTATTAGGTGCCACTGCGATCGAGGATAGACTCCAAGACGGTGTTCCTGACACGATACGTACTCTCCAGGAAGCAGGTATTAAAATTTGGGTCCTAACTGGAGATCGCCAGGAAACAGCGATTAACATTGGGATGAGTTGCAAGCTAGTCAGTGAAGATATGACTCTTCTCATTGTTAATGAAGAAACTGCAGCTGCGACTCGTGAAAACATTCTAAAGAAACTTGACGCTATTCGCACCCAAGGTGACGCTATCTTTCCTCAAGAAGTTTTAGCATTAGTTATTGATGGTAAATCTTTGACATATGCGCTCGAAAAAGATCTCGAAAAGGATTTTCTGGATTTGGCAATTATGTGTAAGGCCGTAATATGTTGTCGTGTCTCACCACTACAGAAAGCATTGGTTGTGAAGCTTGTAAAGCGCCACCTAAAGGCTATCCTTTTGGCCATAGGAGATGGTGCCAATGATGTTTCTATGATACAGGCTGCCCATATCGGAGTTGGCATTAGCGGAATGGAAGGTTTACAAGCTGCACGAAGTGCCGATGTCGCTATCGGTCAATTTAGGTACCTACGAAAACTGCTCCTTGTTCATGGTGCCTGGAGCTATCAAAGAGTTAGCAAAGTCATACTTTATTCTTTTTATAAAAATATAACTCTATACATGACTCAATTTTGGGTAAGTTGGAAAATAAAAATTGTAAACATGCTAACATATACAGTATTCTTTCCAAAATGCCTTCTCCGGAGAAGTTATCTATGAGTCTTGGACATTATCTTTCTACAATGTTTTCTTCACAGTTTTACCGCCCCTTGCGATGGGAATATTTGATCAGTTCATCTCGGCTCGCATTCTTGATCATTATCCACAACTCTATCAACTTGGCCAGAAAAATGTATTTTTTCGAATGCACTCATTTGCCTCCTGGGTCGGCAATGGGTTCCTTCATTCCCTTCTTATTTATATTTTTTCTCAACTCATCTGGTCACGAGATCTTCCTCAGGGTGATGGCAAAACTGCGGGTCATTGGGTATGGGGTACTGGCCTTTATACTACAGTTCTCGCAACTGTGCTCGGCAAAGCGGCACTGATCACAAATATATGGACAAAATATCATATTATTGCGATACCAGGTAGCATGATAATTTGGATTTGCTTTATAATGGTTTATGCCACATTTGCTCCAAAGCTAGGATTTTCCGAAGAGTATGATGGTGTGATAGGCAGGTTATTCACCAGTCCTGTATTTTGGCTACAAGTGATGGTCTTGCCAATACTATGCCTTGTGCGAGATTATTCATGGAAATAGTGAGTTAAAGTTTTTAAGAAATAGTAGTGGCGCTAACAAAGCTAAGTGCAAAGCGAATGTACTTTCCGGAAAGTTATCATCACATTCAAGAGATTCAGAAATATAATATACAAGATTATAGACCACGGTACGATATTTACTTTTGCTTTGATTTTACTAACATCAATAGGATGGAACAATTCCAAAAAGCCATTCGAAAAATTAGACAAGTCCAGAGGATGCGAAAACAGCGTGGTTATGCCTTTTCCCAAGCGGATGAGTCGCAGACTAGGGTGCTACAAGCCTACGATACAACAAGAGAACGAGGTAAGTATGGAGAGATGGCCAGTTCGAGGAATTGAGGTCGTAACTTCAGCCCATGGCTCGGTGAATATCCACAGAACGAGCTTTGAGGCGAGACGACCATCTATATTTGGGCCTCTTCAACCTTGCTCAAATAAAACGATCATAAACTGTTCTCACGTCAAAAACCCTCAAAGGTGATTGTGCTCTTCTGTGATGTACAAATTTTCGGCGAAATAAGAGCTCTGCTTCGAGTGACTAGGAAGATCGTGCTATCTAGATCTATGTTGATCTGGTTCGTCCTGCCATAACTGGTACTCTCCCTCGGAACTGGATCAACATTGCGAAAAGATTTGACGATGAATAGGGAAGAATGCGTCATAGAGCCAGCAATGGTTAGTATGAAAGTAACAATAAAAATTAAGATTTTTAATATCCGTCGGAATTCTAAAAAAGTCACTCTGAAAGCTCCATTTTATAATTTAGCTGCTGTAGAGACTGTAAGCCACTTAGACCCGCTGCCATAACTAGATTAAGCTGAACAGTCTCGCCTGAAATAATGGCCGTCATCCGACTAAGTTGCCCGTTCGATTAACTTGTTATTTAAATTCTGCTTTTTTAATTTTCCCCTCTCCCTAGCGGATGTAGCACACACAGTATATCTACAATATGTGGATTTACCACCTATACAAGCTTGATAGCCGTGTTCAAAAATAAAAGGAACTGGATAACCAGGCTTAATAACAAGTCCACACCACGCTATGACGACGAACTTCTCGATACCAAGCCCAAACGCCAATTGTGAATGTAACATATCCCGAAACAACTATTTTAACTTCAGCAGCCCATTAGACTTTCTTCATCCTCATCATAATCTTCTAAACTTTCGATTGCTTCCTTTATCTGGTGACTTGCCTTTTGACCTACAAGTTAGCTATAGTATAGAAAGGATACGCGTGTACACTACCTTTGGATCTAAATTTAACGCTATAGTGAAGTGGCGTACCGCCAGACCCTTCTGTTTGAGCCCTTTGTAAAGCTTTCCGAGTAAGAAATGTACCATGGCCTCTTCTGGCGCTATGTCTTTCAGTATCATTAATTCTGCCAGAGCTTTGTCGTGTTCGCCGATACTCATCAAAGTTCGTGCTACCTTGAAACGGGTCAATGCCGATCTAGGTGCAAGTTCGGTGGCTCTAGTAAAATATTGAAGAGCTTGTTGTGGCTTTTTTTGTTTTTCTAATACGGAGCCGATACAACAAATCAAAACTGCATTCGTTGGATTGATCGAAGACGCAACAGAAAAGTGTGTGAAAGCTTTCTCATATTCACCCAGCTTTTCATACACACGAGCAACACCATACCATGCGTTATAGTGTCGTTTATCAGCCGCCATGCCTGAACGATATGAGACAAGTGCCTTATCATATTCCTCATTAGAAACGTGCTCGTGACCTTGAAGAGTAAATGCATATGCGAATGTCGGATTTAATTGCGTTGCACGCTTGAAGCATTTAAGCGCCTGTTCGTGTTCTCTAGATAGTGACCATGAATTCCCTAAGGCACACCATGCTTGTGGTGAATCCCATGATGCCTCAATTAGCTCGTAGGCAAGGAAAGCGAGATCAATTTCTCGCTTTAAATGCCATAAAATAGTTGAATAAATCTCCATGTCTTCAAATCTAGTGGGAACCATTTGTCGTAATCTCTTATAGAATTTTTCTGCTTCATTATAAGCAGCCTGTTCATAATATACTCGTCCTAATTGTGCTATTATCCAAGGGGTATCACGGTGTATCTTTGGTAAAGAGCTGTAAATCTGTAAAGCTTCCGCGCATTGGAATCTGGAAAGGGCATAATATCCACTTCCGAGTCTTTGAAGAAGTTCAAATAAGGCCTTAATTGAATCTTCCTGCCTGGATAATTCAGGCTCAGCTGACTTTTGGTTAACGTAGGTGGTAGTATTAGCTGAGTTTCTAGACATAGAGTCACGATGGTCAAGATCCATGATGTCTTCCATCGGCTTTCTACACCCTACTGCTTGGCGACTAGACGTAATTGAACCAGAACTGGGCCTAACTATTCGAGAGATTGGAGGTTTGGCTTTTTTTAATTCTCGCCCTGGTGGTGGACCAATAATAGAAAGGTTCGATGAAGATAACTTAGCGGTTATCGGTTGTTTCTGAAAAAGTCGCACACTTCTTCGTTGCGGCGCTAGACCTTGATCTTCGAATCCCTGCTTTGGAATAGATTGACCAGAGACCGATCTTTTTCGCTCAACAACTAATGGTAATGCTGAATTACTAGTTCTTAGTTCTTGCGTTTTCGATAGCTCTTCGATAGAATCGTAAGTACGTTGGACTCGTTTGGTTAAGCCCCGAGATATTTTTGGCAGATCCATACTTATATCCATCCCTAAATTGGTAATTGGTCGGGTTTTTCGAAGGGGAGCTTGAGGTGGCTCCCTAAAATGTGCAGACGATAATTCACCGCGGCTGTACATCGAGAGACTTTCATTAGAAGCACTTGGCCCAGATGGCGTTTCCATAACCTCAGAACCAACCCTACCGCTGCTTGTAGCTGGTAAATTAGTCAAGCTTGGTTTACTTTCGCTTAGCTTTTGGGGATTTACTAGTGGCTCACTCGGTCCATTGTTATTTTCTCGTAGTGATGTGTGATGGAATGGATCATATCCATCGTTAACATTTGAATTGTTGCAAATTATGTTCCGTTTGCGCTCTGGATTTTGAATAGTTGGAAGAAATGTATCTCTTTGTTGTGTCAGTTTTTCGTTACCTTCACTTGAGTTGATCTTGAGTGATGCTTCTATATTTGGGTTCAATTTAAATATATTGGGGACGCGTACACTAACACCCATATCACATAGAAATGTGAAAGCGTCCCACATAAAAGGATTCAGTTGTAAAGCTTCCTCGAAGCAGTTTATGGCCTTTGCTTTGTTATCCCAGCTATAGTAGAGCTTTCCTTTTAAGCAATGAATCGTAGCAGCATCTGGTAAAGGCTGACGAGCAGACGCGCTGTGTTTTCCAAAATTGTTTTTCCCTATCCATAGGATCCTACACCGTTCTAATGCATTTATTCCCTGCTTAAATCTTTTCATAAGTAAGCACGTCTGAGCGAAGACGTACGCACACCCTAAGTGTGTTCCTTTAGAGCCTGCCGACTTTGAGTATTCGTGTGCGGTCGCGTTATCTCCTAATTTGAAGTGGCACAATGCGATAAGATAGGCAGCTTCAGCACCACGCTGGTCATAAGCTGTAAGCCTTTCTGCAAAAAATAGAGCGTTCTTTATCAGATTATTGTCGATGTGATAGTAGATGATATTGCGTAGTTGGCTTATGATACAGGAATTAGAGGGCGACATTTTGACTCGCTGTTGAGGAAGTAGGAAGATATGAATTAAAATTCTAGCCCCCTACTAAAATCTGGCCATGAAGTTAACGGGCTTGATGATATCAGCTTAGAATTTTGGATATCGTTTCCTTATCCGGCGTGGACCGCCCCTTCTTTGTTTGACAGCTGAAGTATCAATCCTAGTTTGGTGTTCAAATTGTATTTGTCTCTTTAAATAGGTATTTATTTTTCGAATAGCAGGACTATGAGAATTACTGGTCAGATTAAGCTTGTTGAATGATTCGTAGTTTGTACAAAAATGCTCGATTTCGCCGTGTGAATCTAGAACAGGGGAGAAAGTCAGTCCTGTGAGAAATCTTCGATCGATTCGACAAGGAAATGGGTAGCTTTGTTCTAACTGTAATCATTTCTGTCACAAAATTTACCCACCACCTCATGTTGTACCGTCAAATGAAGCGCTTACTTTGCCAGTCGCGCCAAATGTTCCGCTCAGTGATGTTTTACCCTTCGCCACGGTCACGTCGGCGATACATCAACATTGGCCCGACTTCATCTTGCGACCAGAGTACATCGAGCTACAGGGCCCCCGAACTCCTTCATCAAGAACTCACTTCTGCTTTGTTAACAGAGAATTAAGGATTACGAAAACTATTGAAAATCGAATTTGAGGACTCACGACTTTCAACCGATATTATGGCACAAAAAGCTCGAAAGGATAGAGCAAGGAATAATGTGAATTCTCTAAATAAACTTCATATCGGAACCCTCCTTTTGAACTCGATATTTCTTCTTTCCAACTATTTTCTCAGCAAGCGTTCTCTGTTGGCATACTTTCTTCTTTCTATACCATCCTTTGTTTCCGAATATATTCTCGAGACGACCGGACGTCCGAAGTTCGATACTAAAACGAAAGCTATCAGAAGCTCCGGAGAAGACCTATCAGCATCGGGCCTGACAGAGTACATGTTCGACACAGTGTGGCTGACTTGGTCATCTCTTATTTCGGTCATGATTTTTGGAAATTGGGGCTGGTTAATTTTGGCAGCTGTACCGATTTATGGAGCTTACAAAGGTTATACACTGTTAGGAATGGCAAGAGGCATGCTTGGGCCCCAGACATCAGACAATTCCGCAACAAAACCAAAAAGAAACCAGTGATCAGGTTCTCAACCATCCGATAATGCTACGTTACAACAGTTGGAAAAGACTTTCAAGTACTAAATTAATCCTCAAATAATTTGTCGAAAGTCAGCAACTCCTGAGGGAGCCAAAACTACTTCTCTTAACCCCATATTTATTTCGAATGTTCTCCCAAAGATATACAATATTGATTCCCAATAATCTTCACCATTAATTTCTCTTCAAATTTATTTCTTAAAAAAATCCTGAAGTTTCGAAACAACCATAATTTAACTCAAAATTATTTATTACATCAATATAGAAATGCTGTTTTCTAAAGAAGTAAAATATGGAATTTTCCGAAATATTTTAAATTTATGTAAGGAATTAACGCATAAATTTCGTCCAAAAGGGTTTTACCAAGTTGCCAAATTATTTTAACTCTTATTTTGTCTATAATTTCTTAGTTTCATGGTGATTTAATTTCTTTTACCAAACCAGTCTTCTTTCTCGATAAAGCCCCACATACAACATGTAATTCTTCTGTGTCTAAAGACCGATGATACTTAAGCTTCGGACTAAATTGTCCCTCTAGCCTTCTTCTATAAAATAAATAAATAATTTAATTATCCTGATTTAATGACCTGAAGGTCACCATGCCGGTATTTTCGCAAGACATATTTTATGTCGAATGACTCATTTTGAAGTTTGAAACACTCACATTTAGATTTCATTTGCAGATACCATTCGAAGTTAACAATACGGCATGCAAACTATCCCGTGAACAACCACCACAGGAAAAATCGTATAAACTAATGGATATCCAAGTGTGATTTCGTCACCCTAAAGACATCACAACACCACGAGATAATGTGGTGTATCGGTCTTACTGGGTTCGAACTAGCTTTATCATGCCTCAAATGGGGTAAGTGTTCAAGCTACCGGGAATCTAACTCGGAGGACGGCCCAAACGTTATACCATTGCATCATCTATTCCTGCTCTCCTCTACAGCTCTCTTGAAACAGCAACACCCTTCTCAAGTCATAATTCAATCGTCCTCTCAGTGTAGCATTTGCGATTCATATGTGAAGGGACATCATATTTGTTGTTCACAATTATGGATCCAAAAATAAATTTACATGTTATTTATGGAGTAGAATAATTATAACGCGCGCTCTTGTTCATGGGTGGAACTGGATAGCTCCGGATCCACATACAAGGCTATAGCCCGTAATATCACTTGTCCCTTCTCCAGTCAAAGAAGCAAAGGCCATCTGCAGAGGACAGCGATCGGATATCTGTACGAAGTGTCCTCTACGAATCTAGGTGTGAAATATTCTACCATGGCCGAGTCTAGTCAAATTTTGCAGTACCAAAAAATTTGGCCCACGAGGCAATGATTCAAAATATCTAGTGCTCGGCTGCCGAAGATAGAGGAAAAAGAGAAATAATATGTGGAAGTCGAGGAGAGAAGAGAAAGACTCAACCAGTAATGAAAAGAAAACAGCTCTAGTCTTTGCGAGTAGAAGGGCAACAGCTGGACTGCTAGATTTTTTAGAGGTAAAAGAGTCTCTGAACAGGGAGAAGAGCAAGGTAGGACAGAACAACTGTTATGGCCTGAATACTCTGGCCTGACGCAAAGTTAACAAACGGGATATCCGGCCAGCCAATGTTAACTAACGAGATAAATTACAAGGTCAGCTCCAAGACCGGCTTTAGGGGAGGTGTCACGAAATAAGACGATGTCCTTATTAATAGATAGATTGATCACGAAGCTACAAGAACTCCAAGAGGACCATTCTACTTATTGTTCCTATCAGGTAACTGGGAGCCTGACCTATGACAGGCGAAGTGTATGTAATTAAAGGAAAAGATAACTCAGTAAAAACAACTTGTTTCCTATTTCTCCCGGAATTCTAGGACTATATACACTGATCATGATTGACTTGATCTCTTGATCTCTAAATATAGACATGCGCTAGGAATAGAATGACCTGCAGTTCTAAATACAGAATGCAAGCACTGACCGAAACAAACAACTCACGTACGTATGGACAGTCCCTATTTGTGACCCGAGACATTACACTGTCCAACTTCTTCGGTGGTTATTCTTAGCCGTCGACAGTTCCTCGCTTATTTGTTTATACTTAACACATTAGTCAGCGAGGGTTAAACGTGACAGGACAAAGGCTGAGCACGTGTCAGTGGTGCCATCTACGAAACTGGGAGTGATATATTCTCCCAGAGACGAGATTCAGTCACGACAAAGGGTGGGATGAATTTTATTTGATGGATTTTCGACTTGGAGTTGCACTCGATATTTTAGTCGAAAAATTAGTCGGCAGAGATTTCATAGTCGAAACAAAGTTGAACAAAAACTTATCACCACCAATATACGATTCACGAATGGGTCTAGGTCTATCTGGGAGTCGTATTCAAACATCCGACATCTCTTAAACTCCTTTTATATTTGCGACGAAGCATTTCTCAGTCGATCATATACCTACGATCCACCTCCATACTCGTCCAATCACCTACCTGCACACGCCCTAATGAGGATAGTCATGATGAAAACGGGATGTGTACAAAGGAGGAAGAAAAGAGAACATACACCGAGGGGATTTCACAAATCCCCTATGACGAAAACAACTCAACAGTAAGATATAAAGGTGCAAGTCTAGAGCAATAATGAGATCTTGGATGGCATTTATATTTCGGAGTCAATGAGGATGTCAAGGGCTCGGGCGAGTGGTGGCCAAGACTAAGGAAGAATTTGCGCTGTGGCGTGTATACAGCGGGTTTCTGGACGGTCAGACTTGGTATGATTCAACATATAGGTGAAGTCTGAGGTGGTCCGGTCATTTAGGTAGGGCGAGGTTTATCTGTACTTCACGGTAGTTAACCTGATCCGACCCGGCGCCGCTAGTGCTTAAGCTTCAGTAGGAGTGCAACGGGAATCACTATATCTAGCACTTTAATGAACAAAAAAAAAACGGCTTTCGGAAATAGTAATCCTATGCTTAATGAAAGTATCTTTGCATAAATTAGTAATATATGCTTTCGGGGATGATTAGTATTTAGGATACAGGATAAATCCACATATTATTTTCCAGATTAAATATCTGAGGAGATTGACAATTCAACTCCAATACCCTCATGCGATGGATGGTTCAAGGACGAGTCGGAGATATTATTAATGAATCGCTCTGATCATAAGAAACGGAAGAAATGGCTTACCCAGATCTTCGGCTTCGCAATTTGTATTTTTCTCTTCTTTTGATCATAATCAACTTTGGTATCTTGCTACCACAATTATCTCTTCTTAATCTATGAATTCTTAATTCTAAGCCTCCATCATGAACCTTGATAATCATTATACTTCGAAGGCGGAAGATCCTACTCCTTTTGGATCGAATCGTAACGACTCTACGAGCTTGGATAGAATGAAGCAAAAAATGAGAATAGAATTGAGTGATATTTATGAGTAGAAGTTTCTTGAGAAATACAAAAATTGACGTGGCAGTAGTACAGAATTACGGGAAGAAGGAGGCCTGCTCCTACGAGAGCCAGATTCTAAATGCCCAGCTCAACTTGTTAGGTGTAGGGCGAGAGTACGAGATGCCATACATAAAATGTATGGAAGTGAGGGATCGAGAGAACATCTTTCCAGGGAGAGCTGTAATTTTTCATTAGTAATTCATTTTATTGTCCTGTCTGAGTCTATGACTATGTAGGACATGCAGGTCCTCTCTGCCTACAGGCCAAGGATACCTATACCAGTAGTATATCCCTTCCTATGCCTCTCATACAGCTCCCCTCAAACAGTACCACCCCTCACAAGTCCTCATTCGATCATACACTTAGAGGAGCCCTTAACCCTTCATCATCTCCCCTCTACAGCCAACGAAACGATGGCCATTTGCGGGTGTTTGGCAGCCGGGAAAATTCGCAAAAACCACGGCGTGCGGGGCCCTTCTAACACCGACATTAAGAATAAATCCGAAGACATAGTGATCCTTCTGATGCGTTCAGAGAGGCCGGCCAGCTGGGCGCTGCAGACTTGCGGGTACCTCGGGAAATTCACTCTCTGCCTTTCTAGCCTCCTTCCAACTCCTTCCCGAAGGTCGTGCTGAAATGTCAGAAAAGTCTTGACAGAGCGTGTTTGCTGTATAGTAGCTTAGCCCAACTTCTTTTGTACCGTCTAGGGCGCTGGGGAGTGCCGTTGACTCATCGAAAAAAGAAGCCCTCCTGGCTAGTTAGCCGAAATCTTAGTCTTGGCGCCCACATAAACTCCAAAATTGAAAACTCCTCGAAAATGTCAGTCCCAGCATGGTCTTCAAAGACCTGTTCCCCTCTCGTTCCACTTCTCAGCCGCCTATCATTCCTCAAGGTGTATAAACCCATTAGAGCATCAGTCCCCCATAAACCAAGTCCCCAACTTTGTATATTATGACTTAATTTCATCCCTGCGGGTATAAATAGCGTCGTAAATATGTAGAGAGAGATGGCTGGAAATTAATGGGGCAAGCTCCTGTTTGCAATTGGAGCAACTTCTTTATTGGTCGTTGAGGCGAGATGATCCGTGGGTAAAAAGAGGTTGAGGACTCAGATGACAATGATAAGAGAGGCATTGTCGAGAAGTCGTCAAATGGAGATATGCTTGTGATTGCTTTCGACTTCGATTCGAATGCGATTCTTCTTGGCTATCCCATATATACAGAGCATACTGAGCGATTACACAGGCACCACGGGAAGGTGAAGAATTCGTCATGCCGGCAACTGTCTGTCTTGTGTCTATTGGTTTTCTGAGGTTTCCCACAGGAAGTGTGTTTATACTGTTTACACAGTGTGAATTCCGTCTTATCCTTGTCCACATCGTCTCATCTTTTCGTCCAATGCTATTTCTACTTCTCCTGCAAGCCGGAATTGTTCAAACCAGCCTTTTGCCAGGATCCATTTTGTGATTCTCTCCATATCATCTTGGCTGTTCATCATTGCCGTAAGGGACCTATCTTTTGCCTTACGAAGCACCTCTCCTCTTCCTATTGCCCACTGAGGACACGCCAAGATCATATGTTTGACAGTTTGAGAGGGATATCCACATTGGCATTTTGGACTAATCACTCCGGGGACCATCGTTCAACACAGATAAGAATTGAGACCAATGTGCCCACTTCTTTTCTTAACTGCAATACTGCTTTGGGCCCTACTAAGGTTTTAGTTTGAACTTATTAATTGTTTTGTTTCATGCATACTTCTACCGTTATGCTCTGTTCAAACTTTCAAAAATTGTATTCTTGCGCATTCTAACCGACCCACCCAGGGGGACTATTCTTAACACCTGTCAGTGGTGTCCCCTACAAACCTCCAGCTCTCACTGTAGAGTTTGCAGAGTCTGCAGAGCCGAGACTGAGTAACACCTTATCAACTTTGAGCTGAGTTATCTCCCCCTCCGTCAAAGACTCGTTTCCGATGACACATAAGACGACAAAGACGACGATAATGATGCTGGGAATGAGGAGAGATAATGCGGTACCAAACACTACAACGGTAGTCAGAGAAGCCCTCGTTATATCACAACATGTGCTACCCACCGGCGGGCGAACAAAAAGCCCACGAAAGCAAAGTAAAAGACCCTTCCGCCCTCAAGAAAAGCAGATTTCGACTCGTCAAAAATATCGTCCCTACTCATCTTAACTTCAGAATCTACTAGCCAGGAGGGCATCTGAAATACATGAGTTACTCGAAGACCCCACGTCCGTAACGACTTTTGGATGCTAGGCTCCTTCACAACAGTCACTCTCGACCAAGACTTTTCTGACATCCTTACACGACCTTCGGTTTGTCCTGTGGCATGAATCAGGGGAGGAGTAAGGAGGAGGCTAGGAAGGTTGAGAGACGCTCTTAGGTATACACAGGTCTGCTGCGCCCAGCTGGCCGGCCTCTTCGTCATAGAAGAGCCCCGCACCCAGTGGTTTTTGAGACTTTTCCCTGCAGCTACACACCCGCAAATGGCCATCGTTTCGTTGGCTGGAGAGGGGAGATAATGACGAGATAACGGCTCCTCTTAGTGTGTACTCGAATGAAGACCTGTGGGTGTATTACTGCTGGAAAGAAGTCGTGAGGGAGGCAAAGGAGGGAGTACACTAACCAAGGCATAGATACTCCCGGCCTGTAGGTAGAAAGAACCTACATGTCCATACATAGTTATAGACTTTTTAGGACAATAAACATTCACTCAACCGACTCACCCACATATTTTATGATCTGCAATACATATTCTCATTTTCTTCGTCTTTTAATTACAACCTAGTCCTTCTGCGGGCTAGTTTAAACTTTCTGGTGATATATAATTTTTAAATGATTCTTTCCATTAATATCCTATCGGCATTTGGAATGTTTCTCCCGGTATGGCAGTGGGCTCATGCTTTAATTCTAAAACTTCAGACGACTGATGAACTCTCGGTGTAGCCGCAAGGCACTTCGTTGTGATATGTCAAGATTTACTGAGTTTTCATCGCGAGGTTTAACGCTTTCGCTTCTCATTCCCATGTTCGACTAACAAGCCATTACTGGCTAAAAAAACTATCAATTATAGCATCGAGTTAAATGGAATACTACTCTCTGTGCGAAAGGTAAGGTGTAGCTAATTAGCTGCATTGGTATCTCTAATTTCCCAGCTTCCTCTTTTCTAGAATTAGATCATGATTAATTATGCAGCTATCTAGCTATGACACAATATCGAAGAAAAGTAATTAACAGATCACTCATTGTGAAGGAAGAGCACTCATGCCTCGCATTCCATTTGCAAGTACCACTACCAAGTTATGGCTGCTTTTTCTTCACCCCAAGTCAGTCCATATCCGTGAATACTTACTCAGGAATACTTCTCAAAACCCCTGAGTTATCTATACATGCCTCCATCATCCATTGGTGATTACTCATGTATATGTGTTAATTCAGTTTTACACATAGGTGGGATCCCAAATCTAGAAGTTTGGTCTTAGGCGATTGCTCGTGACCTTAGATCCTGACAGTTTATCAAATTTATACTGCTTCTTTTGACTAAAATCTTGCGAATGAAAATATTTACAAACGATATCTTAAGCTTTTAAAGCCTGTAACAGAGCATTATTAAGGTCTTTTCATTATCTGCGTGGCATCATTTCATGTAGAAATTCTTTGAGGTTAAATGTGAAGTCTTGTCAGTATTTAAGAATCCATATTTTTAGAACAGTAAGATAGAATGAAACTGCAGTTCTACACCGTTAGTGATTTATAGTTTATATTCCCACTCTACCCAAACATAGAATTTACATTAATGTGAGCTAGGAGTCTTTACCAAATTACGTGATATCACTGGAAATCGCTTTTATGAATCCATAAACCTGAATCAAGCGCCCCGCCCCCTATGACGTACACCTGTAAACTAGCACAAAGTTATTTAAAAAAGAATTAGTAACAGGTAAAAGTCTGGCCTAAAACGAGAATACTTGATCTTCAAGCTTGCTAACAGGTCGAGCCTTAGAAAACCCAAGTCCTTCAGATGCTTTTTTCATGGCGCTGATCATCGGTGGGGGGCCACACAAGAGTAGCTTCATGTCGCTTGCAGGCTTGGGAAGTAAGTCCTATTTATGTTAGCGTAGATTTCCTCGTTGTAAGTTGGTTACAAACCGAAATCATTTGAGGTGTTACAAAGCCAACTCCACCTTTCCAGTTCTCCGGAGGATTGTTTAAAACATAGTAGACTTTAAACCCCTTGTCGTCGCGAGCCAGGTCATCCAAGTCGTCTTTTAGCAAGATGTCTTCATTATTGACATTAGCAAAAATAAGGTGGATCTCAGTTAGGTCCCCAGTATTTCGGCCTCTGATTACCGCTCGAATAATTTGTAACATAGGGGTAATTCCTGTACCACCAGCAATCATTCCAAACTTCCGAACCATATTCGGTGTGTAAACAAAGGCACCTTTTGGACCACGGACTCTAATGGTCTGTCCGATGGAGAGGGTAGTCATATATTTTGAAATATTTCCTTTATCGTATGATTTGATGAGCAAATCGAAGTATCCAGGCTGATGATCACCTGAAATCGGAGTGTAAGAACGAACGACCTCTTTAACTGAACCATCAGCTTGCTTAATATCCGCTCCGATTGAGATATGTTGACCGATCGGAAGACCAAGGATCGAACTTGAGGAGGGAAGTTTGAAGCGGTATCTATTTCCATCAGTTCGCATATACGCACAAGAGGTAAAACTGACATGGCCACGTTGTGAGTTACCACTGTCTTTTTTTCGAGTTCAAATTCTTGAAAATATTCCGGCTTCAGTGTGGCTCGCGTCACTGTATAAATATTAAGAAATACTCTTATCAGTTACAATATTATTATATAACGTACTGTTTTTCCAGAATTTGTAGCTTCCTAGCGTGAAAGCCAAGGTAATAGCGTAGGGAATCCACTCATATTTGACAATGGCTGTACCAAAAATCAGAAGTGCGGAAGGAATGTAGATACCGTCGCGGTATTCCTTCGACGACCACGGATTAGGGGACGACATTTTGAGCTCCCTGTGATTTCGAGGGGTGAGTGACCTTGATTACTGATAGTGTATTGAATTATTGATGCCTGGTGGTGTAATTATAACAGCTAAAATAAACTTCGTCAACGTAAGTATTGGACATGAATCTCACTCGGAGACGGCCAGCTAGAAATATTTGAAGTTGGACCGTTCGTCGGGTTCGGTTAGACCAGACCTTGGCGGGAGGATAAAGCGGGAATTGAGATTACGCTGCTGATACGTCAGAAATCAGACCAGGGGCAGGGATCACTATTTCTTCGATTCGCCGCCCCAGTCTAGATTCCTGAAGAAGTCTATCTGAATCATTTCCTTGTGACCAGGAACTTTAGCCTACCTTACGATTAACGATATCGACCATGAATTATCCGACATCTAGAGAAAATTTTTGATATAATCGCCACCAATTTTTGTTTGAGATGAAAACGGCTAACAAGGGTGGTCAAGCTCTCTCACATACACTTAGTGCAACCGACACTCTAAAAACAGGCAACGATGGAAGGTGTTTTAGTCCACCTTCTGGTGGTCATCTCCCCGAATTAAAGTCTGGGTAGCCTGGACACCTACTTCGCTCGAGAAAGGGAGGACTGTGAGGCCATATCTCGCGCGGCGGCTATGTACAAGATAATAGAGGTAAGTTGGGATAGCCATAGGTTTTTCCTGTTTTCCCTTTGGTGGGTATAAATGGTTGAGGGAAGGATGAAAGTCCCTAGCACCAAGGTCTCGAGTAGTATCAGCGAACGCACCCAGCACATGAGTGGTCCAAATGTCAAACTGAGTTATCGTCATATATAGTCGCCGGAGAAGCTAGTCTTCTCCGTTTCATGCTCTATGAGTGCTAGGCTTTTGCCAGTAACAAATAAATATTCAATCATTCTCTACCACAAACAGGGGGACTATTCTCAACGCCTGTCAGTGGTGTCCCCTACGAACCTCCAGCTCTCACTGTAGGGCCTGCAGAGCCGAGATTGAGTAACAAAGTCCTCACTTCCATGAGGATTCCCAGCCGCTTTTGCCTTCTGTATCGTCTTCATCTCTCAACACATTCCCCTATCACCATTATCATGAAGCTAACCACTATCTGATCAGATGTTAGGGTTGAGCCCTTCTCGTCACCCACCCTTGATCATGGAGGAAAAGCCATCCGATGAGTTTCCGGAGCGTACCCAGCACCCGATACGGAGATGGTGGGCTGGATCAAGATGGCCTCGAATGTTACAGAGGGGAGATATAGATGAATATGCGCATCTCATGTGGTCCTTGTGACTAGGCCTGGCCTGGCTGGGGCTGCAGGTTTTTTGAGACTTTTTCCCGCGCACGCAGTTTCAATCGCTACCATTTTTATGCTTTTGGGTAGAGGTTCCATGGAATATGTGGATGAATTCCATGGGTAAACATTGGGCTGAATAGTTATTCACCACGGGAAACATAACAATGATCTTTGAAGTGACAAAAGACGATAGGAGCACTGTGTATGGTTTGGTCTTGGTCGGAAACGGTCTGATTGTATTAGATAGACATAAACTAAATAATACGATGAACAACACGCACATGAGGGGTGGTGGTACAAAATTTGTTCGGGTATATTGTGCTTCAGGAGACCACTGGCTATCGGATGCCAATTATGTAATCAAGACAATTTTGATTTATGCAAGACTAGGCGTTTGTTTCTAAAACTGGGCCTAATTAGCCGTGTCCCGTGCTTTTGCTAAGGACTTAGGCAGCTACTAAAAAATGTCCGTTATCAGTGGTCCACTTATCTTCATTCAGTCTTAGTCTCAATGGGGCCATGAGCTTGTCAATGTCGCCCCTGTCCAACTAGCCTACAGGGCTAATCCCTTAAACATCCCAGTTTCGAGCTTAACATTTTGGAGCTTAGAGGCACTGTAAGCAGAGATCTCTGCGGATACCCCTTTGCCGATTAAAATCTACTTCAGATTACACAGATAATAATTCCTGGCTGTTGCCTTTTTCTGAGCGCGTTTAAACTGTTCATTCAGTGAGAATATCGTCCTATCCAGATTAATTCTCGGCCGGCTCCACCGGTCCTACATCTAAATAGATTAAAGGCTACGGCCAAGGACTTAACTAAAATAAATAAAAACCGTCCTATCCTTTGCCCGATCGCGTACTCCTTTCACTGACAGCTGTCTCAACATCTTCTGCAAGCCGGAACTGTTCAAGCCAACCGTTACTAAGTATCCACTCTCTAATTCTCTTCATGTCATTTGGGCTGTTCATCATAGCTTCAAAAGAACTATCTTTTGCCTGTCGCAGCACCTCTCCTCTTCCCTTAGCCCACTGAGGACAAGCCATGACCATATGTTTCACGTTTTGTGACGGATATCCACACTGGCACTTTGGATTTGCCACTCCAGGAACCTTGCTTCTACATCGATAAGAGTTGAGGCCAATATGTTCACTTTTCATCTGTATTGCAATACTGCTTTGGGCCCTGCTCAGGCTTTGTTATCATTATGATTTGAACTTGATTTCATTATCCTGATTTGGCGCCCTGTGGGTCCTTGCAGGTGACTGCCTTCATTATTCACAAAGGAGGGAACTATTTTGGTAAAAATCCCCTGATCCTGTCTATTTATATTACTATCAATTTGCTTGGTTTACCTTCAAGAAATCAGGATTCCGTTCTCTCCCCTTACAGATCATTTATTATATCCGAAATTGCTATCTCGACTTCCCCTCCAAGTCGAAACTATTTTCTCCATCTGTTGGAATAAAATAACAATTGTTATACTAATAAAGACTTAACAAAATTACAATATACATATCCAGTCATATATGCACCATTCATAGTCCACGAGTGATCCAGCTCTGTAGAGCCAATACTAATATCTTCTACTCGTGTCCTTTACTCGTGTCCTGATCGGAGCTAGTGATCTGTCTCCCCGCCTCCTGTCAAATATCCGAAGGCCACCATCGCGTGACCTTGATATTCCATAACACAACATGTCATGCGGACTTCCTGCCCATTTGGAGACCACTAACAGTCAGGTAAATATGTGACCCATATATTATTTACCCCGTAGTCATAATGTATATATTAAGTCTCAACACCATCCTTTCCTTGCATTTTTCTGCATCATATCCTTTGCTTAGTATCCACTGTATGATTCTAGCCATATCTTCTGGGCTGTCAATCATTGCTTCAAATGATCTGTTTTTAGCTTGCCGGAGAAAGTCGCCTCTTCCATTTTCCCACTGCGGATACGCCAGGACCATGTGCTTGACGTCTAGTAACGGATATTCACATTGAAAGCTGGGCTTTTTTTCTCTGTGTACTTTTCTTCTGCATAGGTAGGAATAGAGCCCGATATGCTCGCTTCTTAGCTGGATAGCGACACTGCTTTGGGCCCTGGTTAGGTTACGACGGATGTTTAAGTGTATTTTTGAATTTCATTTTTGTGCTGCCTCTTATTATTATCTCATTTTATTTTCCCGCCTAAGTCTATGACCGTTGGACATGCAGGTCCTCTCTGCCTACAGGCCAAGGATACCTATACCAGTAGTATATCCCTTCCTATGCCTCTCATACAGCTCCCCTCAAACAGTACCACCCCTCACAAGTCCTCATTCGATCATACACTTAGAGGAGCCCTTAACCCTTCATCATCTCCCCTCTACAGCCAACGAAACGATGGCCATTTGCGGGTGTTTGGCAGCCGAGAAAGATCGCAGAAATCACCGAGTGCGGGGCTCTCCTAATACCGAAATTAGGACTAAATTTGAAGACAAAGTGACCAATATAGATCTGTGTTTATGTGAGAAATCTCCAATGCATGTTTACATATTTTGCAATTCTTCTCATCATCAACTGGTCGAGAAAAACCTGTGTGATCATTCTTGCAGGACAGAAAATAGTGATAAAAGGTATGTAGTGCAGAAAAAACTAGCTGGTCGTGTCTATGATGACCTTTGCAGTCAAGAAAGTAGCAGAACTTCATAGAGTTTCACACAGCATCGCCTGTATCGACGGCAAAACTCACCTAGTGCCATGAGTCAAATTAGAACAAAATTACAAGTCACTTGAAAAGTTGTATAGTGTTAGGTAGTGGGTGGATAGAGTAAATTTCGATACAGTTATTGTTAGTCTTACTCTGGACACCCTTACTCCATTTTTTATTTTCTTTGCATCAGATTTTAATTACGTATGCAGCTATCTAGCTATGACACAATATAAAAGAAAGGTACAGAAAAGATGACTCAATTTCCAAGAGGAGCACTCATGCCTCGGATTTCATTTGCAGGTACCACTGGGAAGTTATGGCGGCTTTTTCTTCACGCCAAGTCAACCCTCATCCGTGAATACCCACCCAGGGGAACGTCTCAGAAACCCTGAGTTATCCAGACATGCCTCCATCATCTTTCAATCTTTCTCCGCGCGAAATATGGTCTTAGGCGTCTCCTTCCCAAGTGCAGTAGGTACCCAGGCTACTCAGACTATACCAGAGAACATCACCAGGAGGCGGATCACAACACCTTCCATCGTCGGCTTGTTTTTATAGTGTCAGCTGCACTCTCGCATGCGAAGTCTTGGCGCGCACGAAGCTCAATTCGTAAAACTAATTGCCAAAATTCGAAATTTCACGCCCGTCGAAAACGTATCCCTCTTCTGCATCAACTTGTAAACTTGTCCTGATTCCTCTCACGTCCATCCCAAAGAGCTATCTCCCAGATTTGTGCTTCACGCTTTGCTTCCTCCGTCGGGTATAAATATCGGCGTGGGCGTGTATTTGGTGGTCAGCTGAGGCCAGAGAAGGTCTAAGAGTGGTGTGGTCATTTGGATAAGGGTGTAATTGGTCGTACTTGTAGGCTTGATGAGACTTAGGTAGGAGTAAAACTCGTTGGGAGCGAAAAAAACCACGTGGAGGAGTAATTTGGATTTTTGCCTCGTGGGCCAACTTCTTTGATATTGCGAAATTTGACTGAACTTGGCTCTGGGAGAATATTCCACTCCCAGATTCGTAGAGGACACCGCGTACAGGTGTTCAGTCTTGCCCTCCCGGTAGTCACATTGCGGAGTAATGAGGAGTGGATGATGTTATAATTAGTGGTTGACAGTGAAGACTCATACAATATTATGCTGTATATTTCAAAATTAAATTTCTCATATGTAATTAGAATATTTAGTTAGATTCACAAAGTCCTCCATAGTCTTATACTCAGTAGGGACTATAATAAAAATCTAATCTAATCTATTATGCTGTAGGTATATGGACAGAGTAAGAAACTAAACCTGTATCCATTTATTGTGGGTATATATATGAAACTATATACATGCTCTGGATTGGATGGTGCAGTGGTACACCATCCGGGCCATTCTCCAAAGTAGATACTGGGTAGCTTGAACACCTACCCCTTTCGAGACAGGAGAAAGCTTGTTCGAATCCAGTCAGACCCACACAACACTCTCTCTCGCGCTGATGTTGTACTTGTGGAATGATGAAAGCACACTTGGATAGCCACAGGGTTTTCACCCTTTTCCCTGTGGTGGGTATGCGCGGAAGGGGTTATACGCCGTAAGGGTTAATCTCGAGTGGTATCTGCAAATGAAATCCGAGTGTGAGTGTTCTAATCGTCAAATTGAGTCATCCTACTTTATGTACATATCTTCCGATAAAAACCTGCATGGGCCCCAAGGCGCTAAATCGGGATATTGAATTATTTATATACATGCTCGCCTAACCAGTACACTAGTGATGTATGCTGTGGCCTTGAGCCACACGCGATGCCCTAGCCTCGACTAACTCGTTGTCTCTTTTTCTTTTAATTCATTTTATTGTCCTGTCTGAGTCTATGACTATGTAGGACATGCAGGTCCTCTCTGCCTACAGGCCAAGGATACCTATACCAGTAGTATATCCCTTCCTATGCCTCTCATACAGCTCCCCTCAAACAGTACCACCCCTCACAAGTCCTCATTCGATCATACACTTAGAGGAGCCCTTAACCCTTTATCATCTCCCCTCTACAGCCAACGAAACGATGGCCATTTGCGGGTGTTTGGCAGCCGGGAAAATTCGCAAAAACCACGGCGTGCGGGGCCCTTCTAACACCGACATTAAGAATAAATCCGAAGACATAGTGATCCTTCTGATGCGTTCAGAGAGGCCGGCCAGCTGGGCGCTGCAGACTTGCGGATACCTCGGGAAATTCACTCTCTGCCTTTCTAGCCTCCTTCCAAATCCTTCCCGAAGGTCGTGCTGAAATGTCAGAAAAGTCTTGACAGAGCGTGTTTGCTGTATAGTAGCTTAGCCCAACATCTTTTGTACCGTCCAGGGCGCTGGGGAGTGCCGTTGACTCATCGACAATAGAAGTCCTCCTGGCTAGTTAGCCGAAATCTTAGTCTTGGCGCCCACATAAACTCCAAAATTGAAAACTCCTCGAAAATGTCAGTCCTAGCATGGCCTTCAGATACCTCCTTCCCCTCTCGCTCCACATCTCAGCCGCTTGTTCTTCCTCAAGATGTATAACCCCATTAGAGCATCAGTCCCCTGTAAACCAAGACCCCAACTTTGTATATTATGACTTAATTTCATCCCTGCGGGTATAAATAGCGTCGTAAATATGTAGAGAGTGATGGCCGGCGATGAATGAGGCAAGCTCCTGTTTGCAATTTGGGTGAAGCCTTTATCGGTCGGCGAGGCGAGATGATATGTGGTTAGATCGGGGTTGAGGACTCAGAAGATGATGGTGAGTGCTGCATGGTTGAGAAGTCGTCAAATGGAGATATGCATGTGTTTGCTTTCGACTTCGATTCGGATGCGATTCTTCTTGGCTATCCCAGATATGCAGAGCATACTGAGCGATTACACCGGCACCACTGGGAGGTGAAGAATTCGTCTTTGTCGGCTACCTCGTTGTCTCATTTCATAGCATGTTTTGCTTGAGTTCTTGAATCTCCATGTCCGGACTGACCAACTGATAGCCTCATAATCACCCATTTTTGTAAAATGATTAGTGTCATGAATGAAGAATTTCAGCTGTTACTCTAGCCAGTGTTTGCGATAGTATCGCTTATTGGCCTGGATGATGCCCTGGCAAAATTGTTGATAGACGCTTGTAAAGTTTTTGGGCAGATCATGCACTCGAATATTTGGAGGCGCGATGGTAATATTGATTGTTGCTACGTAAGCTGAAAGTTCTTAATGAGGAGCAGCACTCGTTGGCTGGCTTCTATGTGCTGATAGAATGCAGTCAGCTACTCTCTCGTAATATCTGTTGTCATCCAGATTTTCATATTTGATTTCCATTTTATTCCCAAGGCTTGAATAATCACTCATAAAGCACGAGAACAGCCCGTATGCCCAGTAACCCACAGAAGAAAACGCTCATTGCCTATGGCTTTGGTACAGACAAAAATCAATATACAACTCTTTTCATTTTTGATGCTAGTAGCAGCGTGTGTGTCGAGCCCAGCACTGACAGATCCTTGCCAAAAAAGGCCTGCCTCATCCATGTTATAGATATACTCCTCATCGATAGGACCGTAGATAGTCTAGACAGCATTCATTCCTTCAACAGCGATAGAAGTCACGCTTACTGCTTCACCAAGGCGCACTTGTTTAGAGATGCTGTGATGTACTTTGAACTTTTGTAGCCACCCAACGGAAAATTCAGGTGTGGGCTGGTTTTGGTACTCCGGAACTTGATGCTAGATTTCGCGAGCCTTGACGATTAGGATATCACCAGTAACTAGCACTCCAATGGCTTCAACGGTTTGTTGCCGCAGGAAGAAGATCTGCTCAAGCAGAAGTCATTGTGATGCTCACACGCGTTATGATATCATTAGGAGAGACGTTCGCGCGTCATGGTAATGGAAACGATCGCTATGAGACACTGAAACTTTTACTTGACGATACTGAGGATGATATTGATTAGCGAACTAGGCAATACAGTCCATCTGAGAGGGCAATGACGATGATCAAAACATCACTCTCGTAAGGCGGCTCTCTCGTGCTTCGTAATTCCTTTACAACTTATCGTCAATCGAAAAATTCGATCTAATGATAAAGGGCGATGGCGACGAAGATGAATCGAATATCGTGAGTTTGCTACATTTAATACTAGAACATGATGCGTGCGGGAAGAGGATATTGTTACAGAGCGTATATCGTTGTATAGAACATACTCATATCGGGTTGGCACTGTACCATCCTAAGCGTACCCCTAGATTGATGATTGAGGCGTATTCTAACACTTTCTGTTCATATCCCTACAGTATAGTTTTGTATGAGTCTATCCGCTGTCGTCCCAGCTAATATCACTATCTGGTACTAACAACCCCACGGTACAGCTCCCGCATTGCTCATAACCACAACAGAATCTCACTTATGTTACTTATCATCTACAGAGCTATTCATTTAAATTCTCATCGGCACCCTTTGGATTTCAAAAATTATTTGACGAGAAAAACGAACCCTAGCATTCCGGCGACGGATCTAGTTCTTGAGACCCAGAGGAATTATTTCATAGTTTGCTAGTAGAAGAGACCCCACCGCTAAACATGAATGTAAGTTACATCGCATCTGCACCAGAAATCCTACAAGTTAAAAAACACCAGGTGATAGAGTGGGCATTTGGCAAACGAATAACGCCAGCTGAGCAACTTCGAAAGCATCAACGCTCCCTGGAGAAGGCACAACGAGAGCTTGATCGGGAACGTATCAAGCTCGAAAATCAAGAGAAAAAACTGGTTCAAGAGATTAAGAAGAGTGCTAAGAATGGTCAAATGGGAGCATGCAAAATTCAGGCTAAAGATCTGGTCCGGACACGAAGATATATTGATAAATTTTATGCGATGAAAACTGAGCTACAGGCTATCAGCCTACGTATCCAGGTACGAATTTTATCTAGATAGTAATTTAGCTGACCTTTTATAGACAGTTCGAACCAATGAACAAATGATGCAGGCCATGAAGGGTGCCACATGTGTTCTGGGAAATATGAATCGGAGCATGAATTTACCTGCACTTCAAAGAATTGCTATGGAATTTGAGAAAGAAAATGATATAATGGACCAGAGACAAGAAATGATGGATGATGCCATCGATGATGCTACAGGTTTAGAAGATGAGGCGGATGGAGAAGAGATAGTAGAGCAGATTTTAGAAGAAATTGGAGTAGATCTCAAAGAATCGGTAAGTCACCCTAACCATCAATTCTCAAGGTCTCTCGTTAATCAAAATTATAGATGGGTGAGGCACCACACGGTCCTGTCTCAGCCCGTATTTCTGAGAGTAGAATAGCTCAGGCCATCGGTGGCAATGGAATTGATGCTGACCATGGCGATGATGATCTCCAGGCGAGACTCGATAGTTTGAGGCGTTAGACCGTTTATTAGTAGCTCCTTCTAAGCTCCTACACATGCAACATAGCTTAGCGACAGGGCTTCATTTTTTGCACCAGATTTTAATTGAGTATGCATTTATCTAGCTATGACACAAAATTAGAGATAAATGACAGAGAAAGAGAAAGGTGTGTTTATTTTAATACTTGAGTCTTATACTATCTAGCACATTGGGCTCCTCCCTGACCCAGGTCACACCTTGCATAGTGACCCTATCTTCTTTTGTTACTTGTAAGATCATTGATATATTTCCCGTGGTGAATAGCCATTTAGCTCAGTATTTACCCGTAGAATACAGCCACATTTTCCACGGGACTTTCTACTCAAAAAGATAAAAATAGTAGTAATGGAAACTGCGTGCACGGGAAAAAGTCTCAAACACCTGCAGCCCCAGCCAGGCCAGGCCTAGTCACCTGGACCACATGAGGTGCGCATATTCATCCATATCTTCCTTTTTTGTAACATTCGAAGCCGACTTGATCCAACCCACCATCTCCATATCGGGTGCTGATTACGCCGCGGAAACCCATCGGATAGCTTCTCCTCCATGATCAAGGGTTGGTGATGAGCAGGACTTCAACTCCGCTATCTAATGATGGTGGTTAGGGGGATGTGTTGAAGATAAAGACGATACAGACGGCAAAAGCGGCTGGGAATCCTCATGGAAGTGAGGACTTTGTTACTCAATCTCGGCTCTGCAGGCCCTACAGTGAGAGCTGGAGGTTCGTAGGGGATACCACTGACAGGTGTTGAGAATAGTCCCCCATAAATTACAGAAAAGGTGACTCAAAATAAAAGAAGAGCACCCATGCCTCGGATTTCATTTGCAGGTACCACTGCGAAGTTATGGCGGCTTTTTCTTCACGCCAAGTCAACCCTCATCCGTGAATACCCACCCAGGGGAACGTCTCAGAAACCCTGAGTTATCCAGACATGCCTCCATCATCCATCAACTTTTCTCCGCGCGAAATGTAATCTGAGATGTCTCCTTCCCAAGTGGAGTAGGTGCCCAGGCTACTCAAGCTATACCAGAGAACATCACCAGGAGGCGGATCACAACACCTTCCATCGTCGGCTTGTTTTTATAGTGTCAGCTGCACTCTCGCATGCGAAGTCTTGGCGCGAACGAAGCTCAATTCGTAAAACTAATTGCCAAAATTCGAAATTTCACGCCCTTCGAAGTTATATCCTTCCTTCGCACCATCTTGTGAACTTGTCCTGATCCCTCTCACGTCCATTCCAAAGAACTGTCTCCCAGATTTGTGCGCCACGCTTTGCTTCCTCCGTCGGGTGTAAATATCGGTGAGGGCGTGTATTTGGTGGCCAGCTTGGGCCAGAGAAAGTCGACAAGAGGTGTGATCATTGGGATGAGGATGTAATTGGTCATACTTGTAGGCTTGATGAGAGATAGGTAGGAGTCAAACTCGTTGGTATCGAAAGAATGACGTGGTGCAGTATTTTGAATCATTGCCTCGTGGGCCAACTTCTTTGATATTGTGATCCTTTGACAGAACTTGGCTCTGAGGGAATATTCCACTCCCAGGTTCGTAGAGGACACCGCGTACAGGTGTTCAGTCTTGCCTTCCTAGTTCACTCTTTGCGGACATATGTAGCGCTATAGATTTAGTGATGGGTGAAAGCCGAGAATTAATGAAACAATCTCCTGTCTACAATTGAAGTGATGCCTTTATCGGTAGTCAAGGCGAAGTGGTATGTGGTAAGGTAGATATAGTCACAAGGAGTTCATACTTAGAGATGGTAAAAGACTTATTCTTCTCCTCTACTAAATGCAAACATGAACTAGCTTAGCAGGGTCATCTGATGATTATCTAAGCCAAGCTATGGCCATATTGCAATAATGAAGTTGTGTGACCGCGCGAGAATTGTAAGACCGTCACATGAATTTGAATTTGAAATCTTTTACGTGACAGGAAGAACCTAACATCTATTTAGTTGTGACACGGGTAGATGGGCTCTGAAAGCTCATTGCTACCCACATGAACGGCAGTGGAGCCAGAAGCGACAAAAGAAAAGAGTGAAAAAAAAAAAGAACAGTATGTGTCTGAGTTACGGTGCCCTGCGCCGCATCCCTATCTTCCACACCCATCTCCTCTCGGGTCAGAAACAATCTCAGCGTGGTCACCTCCCACCCTGTTCATTCTTCGGCAGACTGTAACATCTCCTTGTTGTTAAGAATTGAATGTATTGAAAGGCTGAGGGCGATGGATAGGGAGATGTCACCTTGTGAATAGAATACTGATAGGTATGGGAGAATTCAATAGATCACTTGGACAGAGTAAGATGATTGATTGATGGTGAATTGTACTTGTGGATGATTGTTGTATAGATACTGAGAGTAAAAAGGCCCTATCTATATACAGGAGTTCCTACCCTTATTCCTCTACATGGTATTGTCTATGATAGCTAGAGTAACTACAATGGTGTCCTCATTGTAGTGAACACGTTGATGTTAGTGTGTAGGGACCAGGAGGCAATAGTGATCAGACTCTAAGGGGATAACTTTGCTGGTGCATAGTTATCCCCTGAAGGTGTGTGCAGTTATGAACTCAGATTTTTACAACAGAATGAACTTCTGCCATCCCATCTCCCCTATCATTTCCCTGGCCCCAGGTGGGGCCATTTTCTCATAGCTTCTCCAATGTAGCAAAGCAGGTCGGCACTCTGAAAAATGCCAGGGCCTTTTCTCTCGGCCGCAAACACATTTCAGATCTTCATGTTCGGGGTTGAAACGTCGATCGTATTCGGCGTAGTCCCCGTGGCCTGTTCTTGCCGCAATAAGACGATGGTACGCCCATCTTGGCAAAGCTAGTTCCGGTGGTCTTTTGCAGCGCATGAATAGGTCCAGATCTTTGTATCGTTTTGGTCGGTACTTCTGCCACCACTCTTCCACGAGTTCTTGGCTGCGCTGTTCAACCCACCTCCATAATGCCGCAAAGTTAGGTCTTGATCTTCTAGAATGGGCGCAGCTGAGGTTAATGAGCGGTCATTGGGAGCTTCCAAGGCTGACTTGACCAGCTTATCGGCCTCTTCATTGCCTTGAATCCCTACATGACCAGGTATCCAGCGTATTTCCACACGCTTATTGTATCTCAGAGATGAAAACTTGTCCACCACTGACTGCGAGGAGTTAGATCTTCCTCTTTCGAGCACCTGGGTGGCCGCTTAGTTGTCCAGAAGAATGCAGATTAGTAAGTCTTTTCCTACCTCTATTGCAGCCTTCAAGGTTTTCGTGGCACTTACAACTTCTGCGTCGAATACCTCTGCTCCGGGAAGTGGACCGGAGCCACTTGCAACTAGCTTGCCTCCTTGGTATACTACATACCCCCAGGCTGATTTTTTGGGACCCGATGATGATCCATCCGAGAAAGCGCAGATCATGTTAGGTGGATGGGAAGCTAACCATCGCTTTATGCTTCCAGACCTAGCTTCATTTTCTCGACTACGTGGAATCGATACTGGGGTGCCACGTAGGAAGTATAGCTTTCCAGGGCCTTCGGCTGTCGGAACTCGACGCACACTCATTTGTAGGCGTATAATGTACCGTTCTAGTTGTCTGAAAAAACGATTTCTTTGTCCCGATCTAAGACCTAAGCGTCTTATTGTCTCTTTCGGATCCTCAGCCGCCCGAATAGCTGGAGGGTTCCAGGCATCCATTCTTCGCATACGAGCTGCAGACCGCAGCATCTTTTGCTGAAGAATTATCGATGCCGGGGGTATTCCCGCTTCACGATGAAGAGCGCCATTGTGAGTGGTACGCCACACTGGGAGTGCTACTCTGATAGCTTTCATTATCGTTTTTCCCAGTAGAGATATATGCCAGCCTACTCCAGTGCCGACTTCTTTATCTCGCAGTGTGGTTATTCGAGTGAGACCCGGCCACCACGCTTCCGCCCCGTATAGAGCTGTGCTCAGAACGTATGCATGTACCGCACTAATCAGAGGTCCGGGTGCTGCACCACGTTGAGCTCCGTTTATATGTCGTAAGAAATGGACTAGACGATTAGCTTTTCCAGTCTATTCCTGTATATATTGCTTGAAGTTTAGCTGAGTATCAAGCCGGACTCCTAGCCACTGGATATGAGGTGATGGTTCGATCCGGCTATCTTTCACCAAGATGGAAAGATCAGCCGCGTTGATTTTTTTTCTAGGCCCTCCTCCGTTCACTAGAAGTTCTGACTTTGCTGGGTCAAAGTCGATCCTGTGTTCTCTTGCGAGAAGGATAAGGCTGTCGAGGTCGTCTTGAACTGCGGAGAAAGCATCCGCCGCGGTGTTTCAAATTCTGACAATAGCTACATCGTCAGCATAACCAAACCTGCTCATTAGACCATGATCCTCAAAAAGCACAGCGATGTAGGGCATGAAAAGAAGTGGCGATAGTGGCGATCCCAGAGGCACTCCACATTCCAGTATCTTCTCTTCTGTGATTCCACCGCGGTATTTTACCTTCACCTTTCGTTGGCAGAAGTTATGTCTGAATAAATCGGCACAGGGATCGTGGCCAGCCTTGCTCTCGAAGGCGTTTGAGCAGTCGGTTGTGAAGGACTGCATCAAATGCACCTTGAATATCGAGTGTGACCACAGCCGCACACTTACCACTTCTTATGGCCGTTTCAGCATCATGGATTACATAGGATGCATGGTCGACTGCAGATCGTCCTGGTACGGAGCCGAATAGTTGTGGGTGAACAACTTGGTGACTTATCGTCAGCCATGCCATTCTCTTACCAACTAGACGCTCAAGTCCTTTACCTAAACTTGACAACAGCGAGATTGGTCGCCAACCCTTGGCAGTTGACAGATTTCTACCCGGCTTTGGAAGAAGCACAACTTCTGCCACTCTGAAGGCCGTGGGAAAGTAGCCGATTTTCAGACAGGCCTGTTAAAGATCTTTCACGAGAGGTCCTAGATGGGACCAACAGGATTTCAGTAACCGTACCGTTATCTTGTCCGCTCCCGGTGCC